TTTCGTCGCCAGTCAGAAGTCTATCCAAAAAAGGTGAAACAAGTTGGCGAGAATGGAGAGAAGAGCAGATGTCAACTCGGGATTTGAAATTGTTTTCAGAAAATTCATGGAGGAACCCATTTTCCAAGTTTAGGAACTTTTCCAAGTTGTTGAAGATGACGATGAACAGTTGTATGGTTTGAACTGAGAACCACTGCCAATTCCTCAACCGATAAAGCAGGATTTTCTTCAAGGGCTGCTTCAAGAAGCTTTTCATCAAACTCAACTGGACGTCCAGTTCGATCTTCATCTTCAAGGGTGAAATCTTCACTTCGGAATTTTGCAAACCATCTTCTGCAAGTTCTTTCATTCACACATCCCTCTCCATAAACTGAGTGAATGTTTCTAGCCGCTTCGGCTGCCGAGTTTCCTTTCTTGAACTCATGAAGATTTATGTGCCTCAAATGATTTTTGGGTACTTCCATGTTAGCAGGGTTTTAATCAAACAAAATGTAATTTTATTGTTCTCTGAAATAAAATTTGATCAGTTTAAATGCATCTAAACATAAAAATAATGTTCAGCTCCATTAGACATTATAAAATACTCATTAAATTTCGTTCATTTTAACAAAAAGTTAAAATTCGGACAGAACTTATGGGATGACCTGATATGTAAATTCTGCGTGATCTTACGCTTTTTTTAAAAATAAATGCTAAGTGGAAAATGTTATGATGCCATTTCTGATGTTAGGTCTCTCGTTGGGACCCGGAAAAATATTATATCCTAATAATGAAATAAATAAATAAAAATAATATTAATAATTATGATTATAATAATGATGACGATAGCTAAAAATACCGCTTATAATTTCCTGGTTTTCTTATTTGAATTTTCTGATAATTCTAAATTTAATGAAATGAATAATCTCCCTTTCGAGTTCCCGGACTGTAAAATATCCGTAAAAATTCCTCTGTTGTATCGGTAAATATTTGAGATTAACAACTTTAAGAAAATATTGCAGTTAAACTTATAAGCATGAATGCAGGTTGTTGCCTCGACTTGGTGAAATGGTTGACAAGCTTGTCTTGCTCGACCAATTACGATTGAATAGTGAGTTCGATCTTCACTGGGTGTTCCATGCTTTCGGCCTAGCTATATATATATATATATATATATATATATATATATATATATATATATATATATATATATATATATATATATATATATATATATATATATATACTTCGCTTAGAAAATCATTTTAAGGCACTTGGACGTGGTGTAATAGCTAGCAAATTTGTCTCGCTCGATCAATTACAACTGAATAGTGAGTTCGTTTTCAACTGGATATCCCATACGTTCGGCTTAGAAAATCCCCATAAATATGAATGCAGGTCATTATTCAAAAAGTCAGGGGGTAAAAATGAAAAGATTTCAAATTGACAAGGTTTTCCATTTAAGTGATGCGTTATCGATTCCTCCATCTTCTTTCTTTTTCAGGCTGAATCCAAATAAATATGCCCTCTCTGTCTTCAATATGAAATCGTCCATTATTTAAACCCGCTGGAATGACAGGGTGTAATCGATTTCTATTTTTTCCTGAGATTAGGTCATTTGCAGTGGCGTGAAGTAATATGAATCTATTTTTGGGGTGTATAATGAATAATACGATCAAAAGTAAATAATAACGGAATTATTTGTTTTGTCTCAATCAATTTGCACTAGGGTGTACGTATTAACTAAAAAACAACAACAGAAACAATAAAAACAACAACAACAACAACAATAATAATAATAATAATAAACTTGCTGATGCTCTACCAGATATGTCCCTCATGGCTTATTTTATTGCCAGTGTTAACATGTACATGATTTGTCCCGTGAATCAAGATTGTAATAGTAATGCTAATATTAGCTGTTTCATTATAAGGAAACATTCGGCATTTATTGACCGAGCAGCTAGCTGATTGGAGCATATGAAATCTTTTTCTTATATCCAGTAGATGTTATCGCTCGTTCGATTATTAATGAGGCTTTCCTTCCTAACCTTTTGTTCTAAGTAGCTTGGAACATCAACGTCATAATCATATCATTGTTTTCTTTTCGTAACTCGAAAATAGGCTAGCCATTTTAGTTGTTACTGTTGTTGAAAGTCCTCAAGTGATGTGGTTTCTGTTATTTGGTACTGGTTTGTGATTTTGTAGCGTCAATCCACAATATTCGAAAGAGGATGGTCCTCGCCAAGACACACAAGCTTCATTCCCTCAGAGACATTTCTGGAAATCGGTCTTGAATACAGCACACAGTTAAGATGGTCTACACTAAATGTGCTGTTCACTACATCAGATTTGCTTAGGAGTTAGATGGCCATAACCGACTGTCATGTCCCCTAGCGGCTGGCACATTATGCATCTCTGTTGATCTTTGGAAGTAACGGGAAAATATCATAGCCAGAGGTTAAATTGTTTTTAAAGGTTTGATTGATGAAACGGGCAAGGTGACTTGGAAACAATTTTAAAATGAAGACTGTGACTGCACAAGGTTATTTTTAATTGAGCCTTACCTGTAAGGTTATACCCTGATTTTATCAACATTGTTACATGGCGCATATTTGGCTGGGATTTATGATCCTAGTTTACTCTCTTATCAGACGAGGTGTAAAGATGGCGTTGTATAATTTGTTCCCCAGCATTAGTTTGGTGAAATATTACTCACGACCGTTACGTCCTGCCCATACCTCATAAATAATGGATTATTTCGTTTTGATCGTGTGGAAAGAGGGGCAAAGGCACTACTTGGTTTCAGTGAAAGAAAGAAAGAAATTAACCTGATGAGAACAGATACTACACATTGATCTTAGCCAAAAGGCAGAGAAGCGATTGTATTTTCTTGTCGTCCCGCGTTGGCAGGATGTGACACAAGGTCGTTTTTGCGTGCATCCGGGCCAACCCCAAAAGTAGTCAACCGTTCCCTCTCCTCACCGCCATCGGTGTTATTCTTTAGTGCAATGAGGGGAGGTACTGTCGTTGGTGTTTCCCGAGATCGGACATTTCTCGATAATATTTTAGTTGCGTTTTATCCGCAGACAGAGACACAACTGATTTGCGCTCCATCTTCGGACAGACACACCTGACAGAGGAAATAGAGTTTATCCACCCGAGGGTAGATACTTCAATTTGACTACAGTCAAAAGGCTGATAAGAGAAGGCGACAGATAAAACCGCCATTTTTCAGACGCACGAAAGACAGATAACAATTAAGGCAATCGCACAAAATCCAGTTACCATAAATAAGATAACATCGTCTACTGAATTATTTTTAAATTAATATTAAGGGAAACGTTCGGAAGACGGGAATTTGGCTAATAATAATAATAATAATAATAATAATAATAATAATACAAGGACATTGAAATAGAAATCTCAAAAATGTGGTACATGGTAACATTAAAAATTCCTGTTGTAGATGGAGCCCTAGGATTGGTTGGAAAAGATTCCATTAGACTAATTGAAGGGATTCCTGGAAATCCATGCCTCAAAGAGATACAAAAATTGTTCTAACAAGTGTACAGCCCACACTTTACGAAGGGGTTTATCTATGTAATTTTTTTTTTTGTCAGTGGAAAGTGTCATGATGCCATTTCTAACCTTAGGTCCCTGGCCGGGACCCGGAAAGAAATGTGTAAACGCCAGAAATCAAAGAAAATAATAATAATAAGAGTAATAATAATAATAATGTGGGAACATAGATGCGTATATAAAATAATATTTTGCAGTAAAAATGAAAATACATTTGATACGCACAAATAATAATAAATAATAATAATAATAATAATAATAATAATAATAATGTGGGGTCATATTCTATTGATGTGCATATGAAATAATATTATGTATTAAAAGTCTGTCAAAATGAAAATACATTATTATTATTAATAATAATAATAATTCACACTGACAGAACAAAGCTAATCGGCCAGACATTTTGATCAAAGACGACAAAAGCAGAATGTTCTTTCTTATTGACATGGCATTTCCTGCAGATTGTAATGTCTCTTTGAAGAACTCTAAACTTATATTCACAAGTAGAGCTCAGTTCTTAAGAAGGGCTTGATTAATGTAAAATGTGTATGTGCTTTGATTGTTTTATTTTTCAAAATAAAATGGAATATGTCATGATGCCATTTCTGACCTTAAGTCTCTAGGCGCAACGCAGAAGGAAATTTTGTACAGCAGAAATCAAAGGGAATAATAATAATAATAATAATAATAATAATAATCTCAAAATGTGACACATGAGAACATCAACAATCCCTGTTGTAGTTGGAGTCCTCGGATTGATTGGAAAAGATTTTAACTGACTCAATGTAGGCATTTCTGGTAGTTTATGCCTTAAAGAAAAACAAAAAAAATTGTTCTCACGAGTACAGCCCACACCTTACGAAGGTCTTTATCTATGTAAAATATGTTTTTTTTAATTGCTCAGTGGAAAATGTCATGATGCCATTTCTGACCTTAGGTTTCTGATTGGGACCCGGAAAGAAATGAGTACCCACCAGAAATGAAAGGAAATAAAACAACAACAACAACAACAACAACTATAATAATAATAATAATAATAATAATAACGTGGTGTCATACTCTATAGAAGTGTGTGTTAAATAATATTCTGGAGAACAAACCTCTAAAGATAAAAAAATACATTTGATACGCCCAAGTAATTGATTTTATTCCTATTTCTGTAAGAAGATAATTTTCAGTCTTTTGTGAAGATTTTCTCTTTCATTCTCAAAGACTGACAAGATTTTTAAAGAGACTGATATCAAAATTGCACAATGGGAAAGATAATCAAAAAGACATGATCTTTTGCCGAACCCTTTCTAGACCAATGTCTGGACATCGCATTGCACTGAGGATTAATTCTTCATCCTTCTGAACGACCACTGAGCTGACAACCGTGTCTGTTTCTTGTAAACAACGACTCACTCAATAAACATGTCTATTGCTGTGTAATTCCATCAGTTAGTGCGATTATTGATTTGTTCATCAGTGAACAGATCGATTTCTTGAATGTTATCTGGAAAAGGGTATAATATTCCTTTCCCAACATGTTTACTATTCCTGACAGACAATAAGTTCCATATATTGGCATCAGAATCTTGACACGCTTATAGCGATAATTGCTTCCTATTGTAATGTTTTTTCATACGAAAGTACACACAATACAAATGCTCAAGAGCCACTCAAGACAAAGGTTTACTTAATGGCTTTTGCGATATGCAAGTAAGAGGATTTAATTGTAAGGATTAGGCGGATAGATAAACGATTGACTCTTGACTTGAAGTTATGTTTTTAGTGATAAGGAAAGGTATCCACGCGACAGTCTGTCATACAAATTAGCAGTTCTTAGAAAAATGCTGTCTGAGCGAAACTTTCATCGTATTATTGGATTACACAGGGTTGGGGAACTGGGGTGATTAGATTAGGTGGAAAAAAGCATTTCGGTCCTAGCTGGAAAGGTCTGAACTAGTGGAACTAAAGATTGGACATTATTTAAACATTTGCAATCGAGTAGTAAAAGGCTTACAAGTTTGCGTCTGTCAAAATTGTTTGCAGAGTGGTAAATTATGCCCCACAAGATTTTAAACTCTGTTAAGACAAAAAATGAGAATTGAGCAGCTCCGACCAAGATATAGCAGTCCAATGATTTTTTTGTGTCATCTGATAAAATAAATCATGGCAGAAGGAATCGCGTACCTTCTGGAGTTGACCATTTTCCCAAATTTTAATAATGGAATCAATATGAGTTCAATTGATTTTTTTATATAAGACTCCTTGGCATCTGAAATGTGCTCAGACTCATTGCCATCTGAGAGGTCTTCAGACTGCTTGGCATCTGAAAAGTGCTCAGACTCACTGCCATCTGAAATGTGCTCAGACACATTGCCATCTGAGAGATCCCCAGACTCCTTGCCAACTGAGTTCTCAGACTCCTTGTCATCTGAGAGGTCCTCAGATTCCTTGCCATCTGAGAGGTCCCCAGACTCATTGTCATCTGAGAGGTTCTCAGACTCATTGCCATTTAAGAGGTCTCCAGACTCCTTGTCATTTGAGAGGTCCTCAGATTCCTTGCCATCTGAGAGGTCCTCGGACTCCTTGCCATCTGAGAGGTCCCCAGACTCATTGTCATCTGAGAGGTTCTCAGACTCATTGCCATTTAAGAGGTCTCCAGACTCCTTGTCATTTGAGAGGTCCTCAGATTCCTTGCCATCTGAGAGGTCCTCGGACTCCTTGCCATCTGAGAGGTCCCCAGACTCCTTGTCATCTGAGAGGTCCCCAGACTCATTGCCATCTGAGAGGTCCCCAGACTCATTGCCATCTGAGAGGTTCTCAGACACCCTGTCATCTGAGAGGTCCTCAGACTCCATGCTCAGACTCATTGCCATCTGAAAGGTCCTCAGACTCATTGCCAATTAAGAGGTCCCCAGACTCCTTGTCATTTGAGAGGTCCTCAGATTGCTTGCCATCTGAGAGGTCCTCGGACTCATTGCCATCTGAGAGGTCCTCGGACTCATTGCAATCTGAGAGGTCCCCAGACTCCTTGCCATCTGAGAGGTCCCCAGACTCATTGCCATCTGAGAGGTACTCAGACTCCTTGTCATCTGAGAGGTACCCAGCCTACTTGCCGAGAGTTTCTCAGGCTCCTTGTCATCTGAGATTTCTTCAGACTCATTGCCACCTGAGAGGTCCCCAGACTCCTTGCCATCTGAGAGGTTCTCAGGCAACTTGTCATCTGAGAGGTCCTCAGACTCCATGCTCAGACTCATTGCCATCTGAAAGGTTCTCAGACTCATTGCCAACTGAGAGGTCCTCAGACCCCTTGCCATTTAAGAGGTCCCCAGACTCCTTGTCTTTTGAGAGGTTCTCAGATTCCTTGCCATCTGAGAGGTCCTCGGACTCCTTGCCATTTGAGAGGTCCACAGACTCATTGCCATCTGAGAGGTACTCAGACTCCTTGCCATCTGAGACTCATTGTCATCTGAGAGGTACCCCTCGAGAGTTTCTCAGGCTCCTTGTCCCTTGCCATTTACCTGAGAGGTCCCCAGACTCCTTGTCTTTGAGAGGTTGTCATCTGAGATTCCTTGCCATCTGAGAGGTCCTCGGACTCCATTGCCATTTGAGAGGTCCTCAGACTTTCCATTTAAGAGGTCCCCATCTGAGAGGTTCTCAGACTTGCCATTGTCATCTGGGAGGTCCCAGACTCATTGCCATCTGAGAGGTACTCAGACTCCTTGTCATCTGGGAGGTACCCAGAATACTTGCCGAGAGGTCCTCAGACTCCTTGCCATCTGAGAGGCCGATGTTTTCTTTCAACAATTGTGAAACATTCTGTACATGTATTTGTAAATAAAAAAAGATTTACACTATTTATATTATGCGGACTATTATCCTCATCTTTCTCATCATATTTATCACAACGTTTCAGCCGTTGTACGCACCGGCCTTCTTCAGGCGGTTGAAATGTCGAACTGAACCTTTTATTTTGCTCGATGGGGTGGACTGTTCTAGTTCCACGTGCCATGTTTAATTGATGCCAGTTATCAGTTATCTCCTTTTAATTGACCTCTCCAAGTTCTACACTGCTTTAACCAGGTATTTGCGTCCTGTCACTTCGACATTCCGACCAGCTGAAGAAGGCCGGAGCATAGAACGGCTGAAACGTTGTGATAAATATGGCGACAAAGATGTAAATAGTGTACATAATACCTCATCTCAGAAATATAGACAGATAATGAAGTGCCGAAACGTTGTAATAAATATGGCGACAAAGATGGGGACAATAGTCCGAATAATGTAAATAGTGTACATAATACCTCATCTCAGAAATATAGACAGATACTGAAGGGCCGAAACGTTGTAATAAATATGGCGACAAAGATGAGGACAATAGTCCGAATAATGTAAATAGTGTACATAATACCTCATCTCAGAAATATAGACAGATAATGATTTATTTACCAGGCATATCCATATTTTCTTTATTGTTTGCAATTCGGACATTCGGATAATTACTATTAAAAGCAAATTGGGCGTGGTAACAATATTACAAGGATGTGGTAACAATATTCAATGTACTGTGGAATGGTAAACTTATAAACTTACAAGATTTTGGAAAGCGAAATTGTTTACGATGACACAGTGAATCAACTTACCAAGCAGCAGATTTAGCAAGTGATTCTATATAATCGTCCCATTACATATTGGTTTACTCTGAGAAGGCGCTATGAGTTATTCTCCTAATGGTTAGAATCAGCCATGCCGATCGAAAACAAAATAGGTTCTTTGTCGAAAAAACGTTCAAAGCATGGAGCATCGTTAATGAGAATAGGTATAGATATCGAAACATATAAAACGACAACCATATTTGTCTGCAAATTGATTCTCGAAAATATTTTATAAGAATTATTTTCATCCTTGATAAACACATTTCATCTTTCATCTTCTCAACATTTGATGAATGAACATTGAATTGTTGACAGGAACAAGCGTCAAATCTAGCATATCAAGTGAATATTGATCACATAACAGAATTGTTTTGACTTAGATAGATAGATAGATAGATATAAACAGACTGAGATAGACTGAGATAGACACTGTTATGGTAATTTACGCATGGACTCTGCCAGCTATAAATAGGAGCAGGTACTGCCTTTTGGAGAGGGAAGTTTCCAGCAGTCAGCTCTGACAGTCGGACCGAATATTCTTGCTGTAACACTCGTTTGTACATGTTTGTGTTACTGTTTCTGTCAATATATTTGTTTAACTGAATTCCTTCCTTGTGTCTTTATTTCTGAACTTAACAAGGCCACGACACATAGATAGATATGAACAGATTGAGACAGATATATATATAGATTGACAATGAACAGACTGAGACAGAGAGATAGATAGATAAGAGCAGATGGAATGTGACAGATATGAAACTAATATAGGTAGATAGATATGATCTTGATATAGAGATATAAATATGGAAAGACTGATATATATATATATATATATATATATATATATATATATATATATACATATATATATATATATATATATATATATATAGATAGATAGATATAGATAGATAGATAGATAGATATGTACAGATTGACATAGAGAGCTAGATAGATGAATATGACTAGACTAAAGGCAGATAGAAAGATAGAAAGATACATAGATACGAACAGATAGATATGTAGATAGTGGTATATCAATATAGTGAGATTGATATGGACACACTGTGGTAGATTTGAACAGATTCAGAGAAATTAACAGGAAGGCAGATATGAAGAAACTAAAGTAGACAAAGAGTGAGATAAATCAATATATATGAACAGAGATAGACAGACAAGTAGCTAGGTAGATATGAAGAGACTGATATATATATATATATATATATATATATATATATATATATATATATATATATATATATATAAATAGATAGATATAAAAGACTGAGATAGAAAGATTTATAAGAACTGAATGTGATAGAAAGATAGATAGATATGAACAGATTGATATATAGACAGATATGAAGAGACTCATAAAAATAGACGGATATATATGAACTGCAATAAATAGATCTATAGGGAGATAGATATGAACATACTGAGATAAACAGATATATAGATAGGTATGAACAAACTGATATATATATATATATATATATATATATATATATATATATATATATCTTACTTATTATAAAACGCAGATTGTGTGTGTATGTGTGTCTGTACGTTTATATATTGGATCGGATTTCCTACATTTTTCAACCGATTTCAACAACACTTCACAGGACTACGTAAAATTACCTTGCGGTGGTTCTGACAGCGCCAAGAATTGGAAAAACACAATTGTTTTTGCACGAAATTTGAAAACACGATAAAACACGATTCTGTCGCCAGGATGAAAGGGGGACAACTCATATCGAGTTATACTTATTATAAAACCCAGGTTGTTTGTGTGTGTGTGTGTTCGTTTATATATGGGATCGGATTTCCTACATTTTTCAACCGATTTCAACAAAACTTATAGTTACATTCAGAATGCTTTAAAAATTCCATTTAAAAGACAATTGTTTATAATAAAATTCTATTCAATCGATAGACTCATAACGATTGAAAACAATGTTTTTGTTTGAGTTTGGGTTTGACCAATTCGTAAAAAAAACAAACAAAAAAAACTAATTAAGACATGCGTGTCCGTCAACCTTAAACTATAATCTTTGTCAATTTTATTTTTCAGTCTTTATGATGGTCGATACTTGATCTATCTCTTGCTGTTACATCCCCGCAACGCTGGGCTCTACTTCTAGTATATATATATATTGATAGATACATTTGTATATCACTTAGATATAAATACATAGCTACCAACAGGTTGAGATATGAGCATACTGAGATAGATAGACAGATATACATATAGAAGATATTTAGATAGCTTGCTGGATAGCTAGATAGATCTGAACCAACGAGGATATAGAGGTAGACAGATAAATAGATTGATAGATATGTGCAGACTGAGATTGGCAGATATGAACAAAGTGATAAATATATAGACACGAACATAGATAGATAGATAGATAGATAGATAGACATGAACAGAAAGAGAGAGATATAAACAGATTAAGGTAGATAGTTACATTGATAGATAGATATGAACACGGATATGGAATAACACAGATATATTACAAACAGGAATATATACAGAGAAGTAGAAAGTGTTAGTACGAACAATCAGGTTTAGTAGTAATTGTCTGAACGCGACTCTGTTTCGGACTGCCTCTGACTCGACTGACTGATTCGCTCGCTCTGACTGACTGACAGACTCCTGACGGACCTCACTCCAGACTGCAGACTGAAAGGTATTTAGTCACCCCACCCACGAGGGCATCATGTGGCACAAGGCCGGTTTAACGTGGGATCTCCGAGACGGTGGGCTCGGCCAAAAATATGCCCCTTGAACCCTTATAAACGGGTTCAGGGTCGGTTTACCTCCCCGAAAGAGACTCCGCCCTTCGGCGTAGCCTCGTTCGGGTTCCTCCCCGCCCGAAGGCAGAGAGTTCCACCGATCAGCTGGTCAGCCGGTCGCCCGACTTCGGACTGAACTCCCTGCTCTCTCTTGAGGCGCAGTATTTATTACGTATGGAATAGTCCATTATGTTATTATGGGTAAGGTCCCGTAACATATATATATATATATATATATATATATATATATATATATATAGGAACAAAATGTAGATAGATACATAGATATGAACAGACTGAGATAGATTGATATATATGTACAGACTGATCTATCTATCTATCTATCTATCTATCTATCTATCTATCTATATATATATATATATAGATAGATATATATATAGTTAGAGAGTTAT